ACAGTTATAATATTTAGTTTATTTTTATTTGACAAAATTAAAGAAAATGTTAAATTATCTACCCTATTTTGGTGATTCTAAATTTTTCTATCTAATTTACCTATTATTATAACTAAGAAAAACTATGACTATAATTATCTAGTCTTCAACCCCGTCAAAGATCTGAGAAGGAAAAATATTATCTGAGTAAGCAGGAGGTGCAAGCAAGTGACTTCTAAAAATAGCTGACTGCCTGGACAGTCATCCAAGGTTTTTCTGTTATGTTGGAGCATCCAACTTTGGCTTATCGGCCTAGAATATCTGACAGACCATTTTCAGAAGCAGGAAAATTTGATGGACTTTTTTACCTTGTCTTGACAAAGTTCATCAGTTGCTTTTCTTTGTATTTTGCTGGTCCAGAGTGGACAGAATACTTACTGTCAACAGTAGAGGCCGGTTTTGCCAAGAAGAAAACAAACTCCATATGGAATGTCTTTGGTGCCCATTATCTTTTTAGCAGTAGATCAGTGCTACCAGTAGCAGATGTGTCTTATTTCAAAAGAATTCTAAGTCATTAAAACATTCTAAACAATCTAAATTTAAAGACTGTAGGTCTTTAAAGTGTTTGAAGATTACCTATTCATCTGAAATATATCTTTGTATATCCAGAAAACCTTACTTACATGGTTTTAAGATTGACAATGATAGATGACAATCTGTATTTCTTAATTATACATTATATTTTAAAAGAGCTGCATAAATATAGTACCTTAAACAAGAGTAGAAATATACATACAGTATAATAAAATTAACCTTAAATTTATATCAATAAACTAAAATCCATACCAATGTAAAATATTTTGAGATTAACAGTTGTTTTTAGATTAAGATAGATTTAATAATCTACCATTTTTATTTTTATATAATATCCCCATTTATTCTTTTAGAAAGATATTGACTATGATCAATAAAAATTTGTAACCAACATCCCTTAAATGAAAATAAACATCTATAAACAATATTTTGGGAATTTGGGTATAGCTCTCTAGACTACTTCCTGCTGATTGTCTGGTACTGCTAGTCTTATAGGGACCCTTAAAATATAAAATTATAGTTAAATCTTGGCTGCAGTAGTCTGTGAGGCTGGATCTCCTGAGCAGCCCTGAAACTGTTTTGGATGTTGGATCACTTGGGCCATTTTTATTTTCATCTGGTATCCTTGTTCTGAAAATGCACAAAACTTTTAAACATAACATATATATATTTGTAAAATTGACTATGCATTGTAGATAAGCCATCTAGAGATGATATTTTGCTATATGTTTGAGCAGGCAAAATATATTTCATGTGTTGGAGTCCATAAGAAATATAGCAGATGACAACTAGTGTTCAGTTATTAACCCACCAAAGAAATGAGTCTCTGATGGAGGCTAATCCTATCTACACAAGGCCTACATGACTATAGACTCTGGAGATTGTTGCTCAGATACACACAGCTTGGTGTGTATCCTATACCTGTATTGTAGTGTGTAATCTCATGATTACATTTCAGTCTCAAGGGCACATGTATCTGTGGATGGTCAGGAAGATGACTTTTTATTTAGCTATATAATTTTTATTTATAGAAAATATACTAGAACATGCTTCATAACTAGATCTATTTTCCCACAAGGATTATAGACACAAAAGCCTACATTGTTCCTTTTGCTCAGAATAACTGCACACTTTTACCTCAGAATAAGTTTAAGCTAGACTAAAGACTTTTTGTAAATGGATCATAAGTTTAAAACCTTACAGCTATGTACAAGGTCAGAGTCACAGGTGTCCAACCAAGGTTGCTACACAAAGAACCCTAAGAAAAGCATGCCAATTCTTTGCTTGCCAAGTCTGCTGACAATAGACCTATATCTCAAAATTTGTCATTGGGCACTGGGATACCCCCCAAGTCCGGTCATGGTCTTCCTCCTGTAATCTTGGAAACTTATGTTAAATGGTTCAGCTCCTTGTCACTTACCCTAGGAATGTGCGTTTGACCAATGAGCAGTAATGCTTACAATTTTTCATTGTGTTAAGCCCCGCATGGAAAAAAAGTGTTTTTAGGCTAGAGAAGAAGAAGTTAGGAGGAATTAGAATTAGAACAGGAGAATGAGAGGTGAGGCAGAAGAATAAAGGGATTTGTTTGGAACAGCACAGTATGAGAGAGTTCATTCACCTTCAGATACCCTAAGAACTTTTTGCTTGCTGTAGCATCCTATCTGAACCCTGAAGAGGACTTTGGGTCTGGACCCTAAAGGCCCTTGTTAATCACATGTCTGGAAGGTTACTTTAGGTTTATTTCTTTTATATATTCCTTCCACGTATGCTTGTATGCCAGAAGAGGGCACCAGATCTCATTCTAGATGGCTGTGAGCCACCATGTAGTTATGTAGTTGCTGGGAATTGATCTCAGGATCTCTGGAAGAGCAGTCAGTGCTCTTAACCTCTAAGCCATCTCTCCAGCCCCCTAGGTTTATTTCTTTATGTTTATAGCCAGGATTGTCAGGGGATCTTCCTTTATCAAACCATATTAAACTGGCAGGAACTCATAGCTTCTCATTATCTGTGGAAACACAAGCAAAACCTCTTTTCCAAAGTGACATATCCTTAGACCCAAATTTTGAAGTCAAGATACCTTTAAAATATGTATGTTGATTTAACTTAGCAGCTCTCACAAACAAATATCTCTTAGTAGTGAGCTCATTAACTGTTAAAAAGTTTCAAAGAAAAGAATAAAATATATAATCCAGACTTTATGTATTTTCCTATTTTATGTGACTTATTTTTTAGTATATCTTCTTAAGAAATTTATTTTATTATCTTATAAGTATATTTTTTAAATCTGTGACTGTGTAACTCTTTTTTTCAGTCTCAAGCCTATGCACATATTTTAAACACAGTGTGACCAGTTTTCAGTGTTTTTTTTTTTAATCTGAATCTACCCCTATTGTATATTTGTAATCCTTTTCTAACTAGGAGAGTTTTTAAACTGCTAAGCAGGCATGGCTAGACCAAAGTGACAACGCACCTTTACAGAATTTGGAGGTATCAGTGAGAGTCACTTACCTCACCAACTCTGGGAGGCTATGGGGTCCATGGTGCTACCAAGTAGCATGCCGCTGTACTTCAAGCCTGTAGATAGTGGTTGGGATAAGCCTCTTCACCACAGTCCATATAAGAGGCTGTAGGAATCTGCCATGCTGCAGCTCAAGCCTGCAGTGACCAGAGAACACAGTTCTGTACTGCAGCTCACAAGGAAAGACTTAAACTATAAAGTTATTTTTGACTCTGTTTTTTTGTGTCTAGAAGCCTCTTTTAAAATTTCTCAGGCTTTTTGTGAATGTACGTACACAGTGTTGAGGCACTAAATGTAAACAGAGGTTTTTCTGTCCCACCCATTCCCACAGTTCCTTTTAAATAGTCACTCAGAGGCTTAATGTTAATTATAAACTGTTTGGCCTGTTGCTAGACTCATTACTAACTTTTACAACTTAACCCATTTCTATTAACCTATATTTTGTCATGTGGCTTTGTGGCATTACCTGATCTTTAGTACATCTTGTTGCTCTGGCAGCTTGCTGGCATCTGCTCAGGCTATCCTCTTCTTTTCCTGTATTTCTGCTTGGATTTCCTACCTTCTTCTATCCTGCCTTGGCATAGGCCAAATCAGCTATTTTAGTAATCACTGGAAATAAAACATATTTATAGCATACAAGATGTTTATCCCATACCATACATGCATTGCTCTCTGGTTTATGGGAATGGAAGAGTAGATAACTTGAGATTAAAACCACACATTAGTTTAGTTGATTGATGGAGATAGAGACAGAGACCCAAATTGGAGCACCGGACTGAGCTCTTAAGATCCAAATGAGGCCGGGCGATGGTGGCGCACGCCTTTAATCCCAACACTCGGGAGGCAGAGGCAGGCGGATCTCTGTGAGTTCGAGA